GCCGTACTGTTCCCTAAGGGTTCCTGTATGATACTGCGTGGGGGAAGCATTTAAAGCAGTGGCTAGGGGCAAGTCAATGCTGTTACCCACCTAAAAAAGGGGGGGATCTTCACTTAAGGCAAAGAGTGGTTGCTAGAATACAGAAATGAGAGGCAAAAAAAATCTGTAAGAATCCAAGAAGGGAAAGCACCGTTAGATTTATTAGAAGCAAATGCTCTAAAGGAAAACAACTATATTTTTTACAGTATTTTTTTTAAGATAGGAAAGAGATCGAATACACTCTTAGTCATAAGCCTCAGTGTAAAATTGAACTCGTGAAAATATTTATTCTTTGGACTCAGATCCTGAAATTGATCTGGAGTTGCAGAAATCCTAGATCTCACCACAAAGTTCTAGAGCCCTTTCCTCACGGTTTCTCGGTGCCTCACACACAACTAGAAAGCCATTGCAAAACTTAGCAAGAATAACATCACGTTAACGTGGATTTTCTGGAAGGAGATTTTTAAGGCCTGTTTCTCTGCTTACAGCCATTTGATAGCAGTTTCGCCAAAGGAAAATTTCAGACTCAAAGATGGAGGCATATCTCCTACTGTAGCTCACACCAGATACTCAGTTATCACCAAACCTTAAAGGTTCTCCTCATTCCTTAAAATATAGAATATTTTATTCTGCAGTTTTGCAGAGACTATAATATATGGGAAACCTGGAGAATTTGCGACCAAAGTGAAGCTTTTATGAATAGACACTTGATAAATTACCTAGGGAGAATTAAAATCTGATGCACTACAACATTCATTCAACAAACATTTGCTTTGCTTCTGTGCTGTGCCAGGTACCGTAATCAGCACTGGGAACTGATGCTGAATACGATGCCACTTTTGTAGCAACTAAACTAATCAAAACAAGAGCTCCCGGTCTATGTGGATTCAGACATTATCTGTACTAACACTAGAATTAGACATTCCCAAGTCGATTGCTTGGAAAATGTCTTCAAATAAATACAAATTGGGAAAATTTTCTTCTGCCAATTAGTAGTCCATGTAAAAAAATCTAAACCATGGCCCCAAATTTTAATTTTGACCTTTTCAGACGAGAAAAATGAGGTAGGGGCTTCTTTTCTCTCTAGTTGCTTTAAAAAACAATAATAATAAAACCACTAAGTTACTGTAAGAAATCATCCCTGATTAACAGACCTAACATTTGTAATGTGTCACATTTCTAAGATGTTGACACAATTTTCTTCTCAAACCCATTATGAAAAAGGTAGTTTTTCAAATATGCTTTCTACTTATTGCCAAATAGTATGCTTCCACTGAATTCAATAAGAACTTGCAGCATTATGTTGGGCTAATGGCCCGCTCTGTTTCATCTCTACCAAATCAGAATTGAAATAAGTGACAGGTATCCTGGAAACCATAATGAGTAAATGCACCTAGTCCTATCCCTCAGCTGGACATGGCAAAGATCAAATTATTTCATTGAGCTGTAGTTCCTGGCATAGAAATGCTTAATAAATGTTTGTCCAAAAATACAGTGTCTGGGGGCCCAGATAAGTGAAATGTGTTACCTGAGGTCACATAGCTAAGTGGCAGCAAAACCAGAGCTAAGTGCTAAGTATTGTTCTTTTAATATCATATTAAAAGAACTTCTTTTGATCATATAGCAGCGCAGTATCCCTTAGTACTTAAGAGAACACAGGGCTATAGAATCAAGTTGCATGGGTTCAAGTCCCAGCTCTGCCATTTACTAGCTGTGTGACTTGGGAAAGTTAGTCTCTTTTCCTGTTTCATTTCTATACAATAAAGATAATAATTGGTTGTTGGAAGAATAAATTAATAGACGGCACAGTGCTGGGTACTCAAAAATATTAGCTTTTTTTCCCCCTCTGTGAGTAGTTAGAGAGCATGATTATTGCACTAGTGTTTAGTCAGGAAGCTGATTCTGGCTGACACCATCTGCTGTAAAAACATATTACTTACATATATTCTGCTAACGGAGTCCCAGCTGGGCTAATGGGCTGGAGTATGGACTAGTGGTGGTGCTTCCCAACTTTTTCTCGTCCTTAGCACACAGAGGAGGTGATACATTTGGATAGCACCCTGGGGTAAATAGACAAGGCTGCTTGAGGCTCCAGCCTCCCTTGGTTCTGTCTACTTGCTTTAAGGACTGAGAATAAATGGTTCGACCCACTTGCCACCCTTCTGAGGCCTATCAATTGAGAAGCTCTACTGAGATATTTGTCAGCATCTCCCTGATGCTTTAGTTCTGATTAGGAACGTAGAGTTGTCCCCACTTGGGCTAAAAGTAAAACAAGAGCCAATTTTCCCCAACCAGGCTCTCCTGGAAGATGTTTAGAGAATTTGTGTGCTACCACGCGGGTTACATAGAAGCTGTTCCTGCCTCCAGGAACCCTGCTATGAAGCTGAGATTTGTGCCATCAATAGGTGAGAGTAACTCTGCATACAGGCAGCACATAAGTGTACAGTGAGCAATCCAGAGAAGATGCTGGAAATCTCCTGACCCTCCTCTTCATGTCACAGGGGAGGAAACAGACCCAGGTGACAATTCAGGGCACTTTTTGCTGCCCCCTGTTGCCACCTCCATGGGAAGGGTGGGTGTCCTTGGTTATGTTCCAGGTTGCAGAGGTGAAGCTGAACTGTGACCCCCAGAAGCCAAAGTCACACCTTCTTCCACATTCTCACACGCACAATGTAAGACTGTCCTGATCAAAGTCTCCAAGAGGCAGCCAGGGTGGACCAGAGACGCAACTCATGGGACAACGTGGGGGACAGTCAGTGCCATTTCTTCTGGAATGTGTCCTGCATGGCAGCAGAGGCCTCCTCCACACGTCCTGGCGCCAGTGCCCCAAGCGCCAGGCCTGCAAGCTCCGCTCACACGACTTTAGAAATATCCCAGAGGGTTCCTCACCTCGCTCAGTCCGCTGACGTTGTCCAGGCCCTGCCTTGTCACAGTCTCCCAATGGAGAGACTGGAGTATCCTACCAGTCTGTCCTGGACACAGTGCTCAAAATGAGCTTTTAAACTGCAACTCCTGGCTTAAGCCTTTTCCCGGGCACCTTGTTGCCCTCCAGATAACCAGACTCTCTTAACCCTTCTTAACCGGTGTCAGCTTGTCTTCTTAGCCTCATCTCCTGCTACTGCAATCCTCACTCCCTCTCCTCCAGCCCCCTGCTCTTTCCGCCACCTTCTTTTGCTCAGACTATTTCTTAGGCCTGTAATAGCCATTTCTATTTCCACCTTTTCACTTTGAAAGAAATTCCACAAAACAAACAAAGCATGCAAGTTATAAAAATGTGAGAAACCACTTATTCAAAGCATGCAAGTTATAAAAATGTGAGAAACCCATACATCAAGCAAAAATAATCGAATAAATAAATAACAAAAAAAAATTGACTGGACCTTATAATTGAAAAGTTCAGTGGTAGACCAGCTTCAGGCATGGCTGGAACCAGGGGTTCAACTGATACAATTAGGAATTTTTCTATCTTCCATCTACTTTCAACCTCTGCTCATGTCTCTCTTTGTGTATTAGCTTCATTCTCGCAGATAATTCTTTGTGTCCAGAGAATATGGTCATAAGTAGCCTTAACTTATATCATCCTTATAGTCAGAGCCAACTTACTCATTAGGCCCAGGAGGTTCAGGGTGTTGGGTTCACAGTACTTTTTAGGGGCCCACAAAAATGTTTTAATTCCTTTTGAAGTCATAAGAAAAAAGTGAACTTTTAATTAAGGAAAATAGTTTAATTTAATATATGGTATTAATATGTTTGTTTTTATACAAATGCAGTCGTAAAGTATAATTTTTATTTTTTTATATACAGAAGAGATAAAAGCAAAAGTGCTCAGGGCCCAGAAAAGTCATAGTAAAAGGCCCTGCTTGACGCTTAAAAGGGAAGAGAGACCTTTGCTCTCAGTTTCCGTGTGTTAAACCTCAGGGTAAACGCTGATTGTCCCGGAGGTCACATCCCAGAACAAATCATTCTGCCTGGATGAATGGAGAATTTTGATTGGCCAGGCTTCCGTCTCAGGAAGCCTGCGGGGAACTATCAACCTCATACACACACAAGAATGGGTTCCTGGAGTAAGAAAGAGGATTCTGTTTTAAGAACGTACTTGACTATCTCCCCCAAATGCTCCTCTCTTTATGACACTTTCTCCAACACCTTCACCAACCCCAGGAGAACTAGTTGCATCCACCTCTATGCTCCCTTAGCAGCTGGTGTGATTGTAATGGACTGAATCACAGGCTTGTGAGCACCTTGAAGACAGAGTGAAGGAGCAGTAGAAATCTGGTTTCTGGGAATGAGCAAAGAGAAGGGTTAGCTTTGCCTGGGAGTGTGAGGAGGAGACCTTTGATGTGGGTCTTAAAGGCTGGAAGTCTTCCTGGAGGAAAGGGTGTTCTAGCTGGGTTGAGGAATGAGGAAGGACTCGAGGGGGCAGGAAGAGGTGAAAGGTACCAGAATGGAAAGAACTTAGGATGTAGAGAGAATGTAGCAGGAGATGAGCTGAAAAGAATGGCACAAGATCATGGGGTGGGGGGAAGGGACGGGCGTGAATGACACATCGACAGATTTGGATTTTATCCTGTAATCCAGGGCTCTTTACCTCAGTCCACAGAGGGGCTAGAGAGGGCCAGAAATTGAGTGTGAAATGTTGCATCTTAGTGACTGTTTCTGCAGGGAAGGTCCATGGTTTTCATCAGATTTCCAAAAGGAGTTTCTGTATTAAATGCTTAAGAATCACTAGCTAAGAATTTTTTAAGGTTTAAGGTGTCTGATGTATACAAATTTCCACTTTCGGCTTTTTCTTTGAGTGCAATGTTGCCATTCTGTCCTGTTCTACAATAACCCTGTGGGTCTATTTGTCGAACCGATTTTTTCTCTTGATTTTTTCATGCTTAGAGAACATCTTTTAAAAAACACACAGGAATATCAAGGCACTTGGATTTTCTAAATGCTAACTTTGACACCCTCCACAGCTACCCGCTCCCTTCCCCAGGGCTCAGCAGCTCAGACCGGCTGCCTTTTGGCATCGAGGAGAATGGGGGCACGCCGTTCGCTACCAAAGCTTCGGGAAGGCACCACCACCACCACCACCAGCACCAGCATCACCCAAACTATGGCCTCTCGCTGACCTTGGAGAGCAAGGAGGGGCCTTTGAGGTCCCCAAACTCTAGCAGTAAATCCATTACAAGTGAGTAGGGGGCAGGGGGTAGGGTAGAGGGAGGAATGATGTAGGCGTGCGTGGCTGACTTCCCTACATCCCCAAGACAGACCCTTCGGGAGCAGCATGGAACGTTTGTATTATCAGTGCTGGGGACCAGGTCTGGGCAACAGCAGACAAGAGCTTTGTGCATTTAGGTAGGAGCAACTTAAGGAGCAGGCTTTACCGGTAACCTGTGATTTCGTGACAAGGTCATCTCTTCACCTCAGTCCGTGGCAGATCTCTGCTTCC